GTTGTTGTTGTTGTTAAGTGCTGTCGAGTTGGTTCTGACTCATAGCGACCCTATATAGAGTTTCTGAGATGTTGCTGGTGAGCTTGAACTGCCAGCCATGTGGTTCAAACAGACTTTGTAGTCCAGCACATTAACCCACAGAACCACACCAGAATTCCAAAATGTAATCATTATTGTTAGGTGCCATCGAGTCCATTCCAACTCACAGCAACCCTGTACAGGGTTTCCAAGAGCAATTGGTGAGTTTGAACTACTGACCTTGTGGTTCATACCCACTTTGCAGTCCAGAGCATTAACTCACAGAGTCACACCAGGACTTTAAAAATGGAAGAGGGAGACAGAAGAGGTCAGAGTGACGTGATTTAAAAAGGATTCAACCTGCCATTGCCAGTTTTGAAGGTAGAGAAAGGGAGCTATTAGCCAATGAATGCATATGATCTCTAGAAACTAGAAAAGGCAAGAAAAGAATTTCTCCCCTGGACATTTTAGCCTGTTGTTGTTAAGTGCCTTCAAGTCGGTTGCAATTCATAGCGACCCTGTGAGTTTGACCTTGGCAAATATGAAGGTGCTCTGGTGACGCACTAGTTAAGTGTTCTTCCCAAAAGATGGTCAGTTCAAATTTACCAGTGACAACTGGAAAAAGATGTTGCCACATCAAGATTTATGTGTTTCCATAAAGATTTACATCCATGGAAATCCTATAAGGCAGTTCTACTCTGTCCTATAGGGGTGCTGTGAGTCCAGATTGACTCTAAGGTAATGGGTTTTCGTGTTTAGGCAATATTTATACAACAGGAACCCTCAAAAATATATATTTACAGGACAAAGGAAATTTTTGTGTTTTCTGGACAGGGCAATTCTATGAACTGTTACATGGTTACAAAAATTTCATTTTTTTAAAAAAAATACCACATTTGGAGTGTCTTTATGCCTGTAGGTAGGGTGAGGTGAGGGTAGCTGTGGAGATCATGGAGTTCTTGCCTTGAAGAAGTTAATTCTGCTCTGGATGAAATGGGGATGGACAGATGTGTCTACAGTATAGATCAAGCAAGAGAGGTTCTAGGCAAACCTTGTGGGCTTAGAGAAGGGAGATGACATCTAGGGCTACAAAAGATTTTAAGGCAATGGGGCATTTGAAATAAGTTTGATGAGCCAGATTACTATAAAAAATCTGACTCATCACTCCCATCCCTGAAGGATACTGGGGATGGGAGTGATGAGCCAGATTTTTATAGTAATTCCCAAAATGTATTTGTCGATGGCTTTTTTTTTGGGTGATTCTGTTTTTCCAGAGTCATCCTCAGTCTCTTGTTTAATGACTTAGTGGATGATCTGTCCTGGAGGAAGTTGGGTTGTTGGGGGAATTAGCACATTATTTGGTACAGGATCCTAATTTCTATTTCAGCCTTAGCTTTGCCTTTTTTTAAAGGCTGTGATTATGAGCTCAGAGCACCTCTCTGTTTAAATTTCTTTAGAGAATAAATCTTTCTCCTGTCAGGTTGAAGTTAGACCTTATGGGTCTAACTGCTCATAACATGGTTGGTGGTTATGTGCCGTGGAGTCGGAACCGACTCATAGTGACCCTGAGTCAACTATGTACAGGGTTTCCGAGGCTGTAAATCTTT